CTGTTCAATGTGTATTTTCAGTACTACTGCTAATCACTGGGAAAGTAGCTTCTCTCTGTCGTATGACCAAATTCTTTCCCATCTGTCATCAACAGTCTGATATCGACATGAAAGAGGCGCGGCGGAAAAGCATGGAGAACCGGCTACGGTTGGGACAGTTCACCACCAAGAGGCAAGGGGCGCAGTTTGTGGAGACCTGGCAAGATGGCTACGCATTCACAGATCTAATCAAGTAAGGCCAGGCTCCTCTTCTGTGTGACGCTTTTCAAACTGCTTAACTTTGTGTAGATGACCCACACTCTCTCAGTTGACTGTGGTTTTGTTGTCCTGGAGTTTCCCAAGGAATGCCAATAAGATGTGATTTCTGATTGCTCAAAAGTAAGTACCATTATTTCAAAATAGTTTATGACTGCCAGTGTATACAACCACAATGGCATTGTTATCAGGAAAGAATGTTGAATAAAACGAGCAGTAACTCAAGGTTTACCTCTAGATGCGAAGTTTAAGAGGCTTTTGTAGGATATCTCAGGGTGAAACCTCCAGGTTCCCGTCGTTTAATTGTGCGTTCCTTCCTATCCGCTTCGAGCAGGAACATAAGAGGGCTTGTTTTGAAACCAAATCGACCGTCCTTTGATACCCACTTACGGCATAGGCACGTGAGTTTACACGGGTTTGACGCAGAGCATGCTGAGTACGCGCAACAAATTTAGTCTGGAATGTATGGTCTTCACGTGCATACCGAACGTGTGCAAGGACCCAGTTGGAAAACTTAGTACCATCTGTCTGTCTTTCGCCGTTGAGGGCGCACTTCAGCTCAGGGTGGAAACCTACATTCCTCTTCATTCTTGTAGTGGCCCAGACGGTGCAAATTCAACAACTCCAGGTTTGCTCTGAGGTTTTATGAGGTTTAACAGGATTTTTGTCGACCTCAAGTTGCCCCTAAGTTTAATAGTTTTGTATTCTTCCCTTACCTGCATTCCTCCATCTTTCCTGTGGTGACCCAGGCAGCAAGAGCGGCTCAGCAAAGAGAAGGAGGAGATCGAGCACCAACGGAAGCTGCTGACCAAGAAGAAGCCCCCTACCACGCCCCAGGCGGCCACGGCCAAGGCCAGCAAGGCCGCCAAGGCTGCCACCATGGCCAACGGGCCGGAGGACGTGTTTGCCAAGCCTGCCGTTGAGCCTGCCATGACCCCGCTGGAGTACTACGAGAGGGATGAGATCTTCAAGCTGCGACTGGCCTCGCTTAGGAAGGTGAGCTTGTGGACAGAAAAAATTGTGAGATCAAAAGATGGTGAATCGGCGACCGATCCCCAACATGTTCATCAAATGAGGGGATGTGATACTAGAATTGGTCTAGTTCTGTGTCGGAGTCATGATGGCATTCGACAGTAACTGAGGCCGTTTTCCAATACTCAACTTCGGCTCTGTCTCGGGCTTCAACTGTTTTTTTTTACTACCTGACTTTGAAGCTGTAAGCGCACTAATTAGTCTAATAGTGCCACAAAACATCAAATAAGATGCAAGAGAGCAAAAACATACAGTAATCCAATTTGATTTAAACGCTCCAGGCCCACAATCGGGGATTGGTTTTGGGGACGAAGCCTGAGACGGAGACGAAGTTGAGTATTGGAAAACGGCCTCAAGCTCCAATCACACTCAAAGCATTATTTATTTCGTTTATTTTTCTCAGATGAAAGCTTTACCCACACACAGAGAGCATACACTCAATTTCACCTGAATGATTGTTGCCAAATCCCTCAGTGTCTCTTCCCTCAATCACAGGAGGAAGCTGATCTGCAAGCTGAGCTGGAGAAACTGGAACGAGAGCGGAACGTGCATATACGGGAGCTGAAGAGGATACACAACGAGGACCAGTCGCGCTTCAACCAGCACCAGACCCTCAACAACCAGTACCTGCTGCTAGGCCTACTGGGCAAAGGGGGCTTCAGCGAAGTACACAGAGTGAGATGAACAGGTTTTCTTGAATTCCCCCAGATGTGGACATTTTCCATACCGTTGTCTTCGCCTCTAGCTCCACGCTGTTACTTCATGAAGTTAGTTGTTTGAGACTCTTTGGCTCGAGACAATTTAACTTTCTGCCACAGAGATTTGTAGCCGTGCGATGAGGGGCCAGAGATAGGAAGTATTTCCATTTGGTTCTAATGGTAAACTATCAGAAATGATTCTGTGATGTGGGAAAAAACGTAGAATTGAAAAATGGCCCTTGAGTAAAACGGGGCAGCTTGCTTTTGTTGTATGACCCTCCGTCATAGCACCAATCAAATTTAAACATTAACCTACCGACGTAGAAGTTGTGCATTCCACTTGTACATGAGATTTGAGCCCCCATCAAAAAAGCTCTTTTGGTCAATAAACTCAACTCGTGTTTTTGTGAGAGGTCACTGATTTTCATTCTGTTTTCTGTCTTCAGGGTTTCGATCTCAAGGAGCAGAGATACGTGGCCTGCAAGATTCATCAACTCAACAAGGAGTGGAAGGAAGATAAGAAAGCCAACTACATCAAGTAAGGACGGCAGTGCTCACGCACTCAGTCTGGAACTTTCCTCACATGGAGTTTCAGGATGGCCCATTCAGTGTTACAGTAGCCAGAATGGGTTCTTGCATTCTTCGTAACTTTCTCCGATGAAATGAGCATAAAGTTTGAATATTTGTAAATTGCGATATTGGTATTTTTAACTCTGTAGAAAAATTCCTGTTTGTCTATCCCCACGTATCCAGTGTTTTTTTAACCACTCTGACACAGCACCGTTTGTCCGTAGATTTTCAGTCTTTCTTTGTTGTGAATCAAAACAAATGATATGTTAATTTTACACCTCTTTTCATTTCAGACACGCGCTTAGGGAATATGAAATTCACAAAAGCTTGGATCACCAAAGAGTTGTCAAGCTTTACGATGTCTTTGAAATCGACTCAAATTCGTAAGTGAGAGTGGATCAATGTACCAAAGTGTCATCTAAGCCTACTATGATTTGGACTGTCAAATCCCTTCAGAAACTTCATTCGTTTCAGCAGAATGTGAGGGGTTTTCATGTCTGTCAGACGTTGATCACATCAATGTCAAACTCCAACTCGTATTGTTACCTCCTTTGGGGGAAAACACTACAGAAAGAAATAAATCTTTTCTGCAACGATTCTTACAGTTTATCATATTAACTAACTTAATGTCATGAAATACAAGACTAACGGAGGAAAAACCCGTGCTCAAAATGAGGTTAAAAGCAATAAGTTTACTCCAAAGCAAGATGAAACAAGATACAGAGCAGGGGCCAGTTTTGGTGACCTGCTTGGCACCCACTTCTGCTTAGCATGAAAGAAAAAAAAACACAGCTGAGAACAGCACACTAGCCAAAATGTAATGTAGTGTGTGTTGTTTACAACTGGTTCCCAGTGGACACTTGCTAAGCGTGTAAATTTGATACGTACTCCTCAGCAGTATCATGAAATCCTTAGTTGATTAGAATAGAGAGATGAGCTAGATGCATTAACAAACTATGAAAAAAGTAGCACACAGAACTGAAAAAAAAACAGGAGATGAATCAATTCCTAGCAGGTATTTGAACCACAGAAACCTTACAACAGGAGAAGGTACATGTATGATTCGACAGCTTACAAAAGACATGAACAGTGAAAGAAACAAACCAATTCCCCGTTGGCCTCCTTTTGTTTGTTGGTCAGATTTTGCACAGTGTTGGAATACTGCCCGGGTAATGATCTAGATTTCTACCTGAAGCAGCACAAGATCATCAGCGAGAGGGAGGCACGCTCCATCATGATGCAGACTGTCTCAGCCCTGAAATATCTCAACGAGCGTAAGCCGCCCGTCATACACTATGATCTCAAACCAGGTGAGTTATAAAACCAATACTGAATTCAACACAGAATTCAGCTGCTGTTGTGTTTCCTTAGCACACATAAATTCACCAAGTAGTTCTCTTTGGTAGCTGTGTAATATTGGACCAAGATGTTGAATTTTGGGCAAATTAGGGTTTGTGAGGATTGACCCGCTCAAGTCTTCCCAAATCATGTGTGGTTTTGTGAGGATTTTTGAGAATTTATGTTGTGTGCTAAAAGGGTTCGATGGAATTTGAAATTGAGGGATGTGAAGGTCTTGGGCTGGACCATGTCTTGTCTGTGCCCATCCATGCATAACTTTAGGCCTAAATTATGTATGGAATCAACGGCACTGCTCCAGGATATTGTTTGTACTTCCTCAATTTGTTGACAGGAATTTCTTAAGGACTGATGCACTGACCGTATCCATAAGGAATACATTAAAGATACAGTTGAAGATGTTTTCATTGGGCCTGGAGTCTATATGCATATTAAAGCTGAAGAGAAAGTGTTTGTTGAAATAGCATGGGAGTGAAACACGGCTAACGGATGCGGATGTGGAATGGACCGAAAGACATGTACATGGAAAGGCTCTAAGACTTCAGTCCGATTTTTTTTACACGGAGGTAGTTGGAGGATTTTGTAGGATGGACCCAATGGCGTCAGGAGTTAGGGTTATGTTAATCTTGATATTGGTAGAGCATTACAGTTCCTGACTTGGCGACGTTTAATATGCCGATGTAACTTCCATTTCCATACTGCAGGTAACATTCTTCTAAGTTCAGGTAATGTCAGCGGGGAAATCAAGATCACAGACTTTGGTCTGTCCAAGATCATGGACGATGATCACTTCAACTCACAAGAAGGTGGTATGGACCTAACATCACAAGGGGCGGGAACATACTGGTGAGTCTCACCGATTGATGTAGTCAAGAAATGCACTCGCGTGAATTTGCATACACCCACTTTTTAATGTCTTAGCCTTGTAACATTTAATAGCATGGGACTTTAAGTAGGCAGGGACCCTTGAGGAAGATGCTTTTTAAAGTTTTAATATGTTTAAAATTTGTTTTCAATCTCTGAACTTCTGTTTCATGGGTTCATCAAGAAAAGCATTTCACAGTCCGTCTTGCACATGCTTTAAAAACTGTATTAAAGCAATGACAGAGAACTTCTTAAAATATACGGTGTGCATTTGTGTGTTTGTATTTCAGGTACCTGCCCCCAGAGTGTTTTCAAGTCGGCCAGGAGCCCCCCAAGATATCCTCCAAGGTGGATGTGTGGTCCGTTGGCGTCATCTTCTATCAGTGTCTGTATGGGAAGAAGGTGAGCCTCCCTCAATTCCACCTCATCAATCTATACGGGGGGCAGTATGTGAACAAGAGAGGGCGCTTTGTTAGCTGGCAATGGCATCGTGGGAGGCTGACATCAAGAGTACTTTTGTGGAGTTTCTTTTGATAACCGTCCGGACTTTGTTCCTTTCCAGCCCTTTGGTCACAACCTGTCCCAGGCATCCATCCTGGAGCAAAAGACGATTCTCAAAGCCACCCAGGTCCAGTTCCCAACCAAGCCAGTCGTCAGCCCCGAGGCAAAGGTTGGTGCTTTTCTCTTGGCTAGATCAACTCCAAAGATTCCTGCAGGCAATTTTGTTAAGGATCCTTCCTAAATCCTCCCCTGTGCAGGAAATTTTTCTTACTGCGATTTAATTGGTCCCCAGTCCCTACACAGAGCTGCCAACTAGTGCGATTTTATCGTATTTTGTACGATTTTTCAGTGACAATACGACACAACAGTTTTTCTCAATAAAATACAATGTACCAAAAAAATAAGCTGTGTAGTTATTTTAGCTTTTTACCTATTGTTTGGCATGAAAATTGACATTTTTCATGAGGTAATTTCGCGTGGTAACATCAGTCGTCGACAGTATCGAAAATGCCATGCAAACGCATGCAATACGCATGACCTGGTGTCCATCCACGAGGCCCTCTATTGTCTGTTGCTGCTTCGTTTGTACAGTTTGTGCACTGTTCGTAAACTATGGATGTATAAGCAAAATCAGTCTGGAGCCCAGACTATACATCGCGCTTGCTCGATAGTTTACATACAAATCAAGCTTCGAGTTACGCGACAGTGAAGAGTAGGATTTTTTTCTTAAAATAGGATTTTTAAGGTACCATCATAGGATTTTTGGTTGAGGTGGATAGCTCTTATTATATTTTCTGGCAAAATCATCCTGGTTGATTTTTTTAAACCTGGGAGGACCCATAACACTATAAATAATACCATGGCGTTGCTTATTAATCTTAAGGCCTGCCATTGCTGGTGCCAGGCATTATATGATTTAAATTTTCCCAATACACCTTAATTCTTTGCCATTTATGGTAAATAGCCGAAGCCTCAGAACTGCATTGTCTTTTTTGGACACAATGCCAAGTCAAGAGGCTCACGGGAAATCACTCATTTTGCAAACCTGGAACCCTAACTAAATCCCTTTTTTTTGCCACCCTTTTGTCTAGGACTTCATCCGCCAGTGCCTAGTCTACCAGAAAGAGGATCGAGTCGATGTTCTGACCTTAGCCAAACAACCCTACCTTCTACCTGGAAGGAAAAACCCAGCTGACAAAAATAATACAGCAACCGCAAATAGTGTCAGCAGTTCTAGTGTAGCCGTTAGCTCTTCAAGTACGTCAACTCCAGAGGCAGCTTCTTAGCAACTGTTTCTAGCCACCATTGGCTAGAGTTACAAGCTCTCCGTTCATTCTTCAAGTTTCAACACCCAGGGGGTTTTCTCAGTCATCCTGCAAAAGAAGAAATACGTCCTCAACGTTTGTGTTCCTAGTTTGTCCGTAGTGATTGATTCTTGACGGGCTGAGTCATGGAAATTGATTCTTGGTACCGGTCGAAGTGCGTTCGTGGCACCAGTGAGCTCGGTGGTTGGAGTTGCAGGGAGACGTTCTAAGCGCAAGAGGAGGCAGTACCAGGAAGAATGTGCCACTTGGTCAGGTGTATCTGGACTTCTGCACGGTGTACTTCAGCGGAGCTTGTTTCAGCTGCTAACACATCAGGCAATGATGGAAAGGGCTACCGGCTCTGCGCCCAGGTTCCTGGAGATGCTAAGCATAGAAATAGCGGCTTGCCAAAATTAGGTTACCAGCCAAAGCAGCATGCCAAGTATCTGACACAGGCGCAGTAATCTGCTCATATTTAAGCTAAAAAAAGTCCCAAGCAGTGGATGAATTCGGGTCACGCTCTCATGGTATTAACTTCTTGAAACAGGGGCTTCAGTAAGCTGATAACAGTTTTGGGGCGGGAGTTAATGAGATTGCTGATTCCCTGCATCTTGAAACTTTGAAGTGGTCGCTGCATGACTGCCTAAACCTTGGCATTGTTGACGATTTCAGCATCCCCGTGTCAAGTGCGTTCTTCTCATTTTTAAAGTGATTCACAGATTTTGAAGAGCAAGCAGAAAACTGTCCGCAAAGATGATCCCTCAATAGAAGTAAAGTTGGGTCTTTATTAAAATCAAAGGAAAGGTGCCGGCTTCTTAGGCTGCATCCGAATCTCTTGTTTAGAGCTAGGTCTAGGTCTTCACTCCATTAGAAATGCGTGGAGATGCGTAGACAATAGACCTAGCCGTAGCTCTGGAAGCCCGTTTGGGACACGGCCATAATGTTAGATGTGTATTACAGTCCGGTTCCATGTTGTATTAGTGTTTACCCAAACCCTCCCGGGTACTGTGGCTAGAAACTCTGCCAGACACATCAAATTGCATCAGTTGTCAAAGTGGCTTGCCTGCCCAGTGTAACATGATCAACTCTGGTCAACTCTACATGATCAGCAGGTCAACTCTTACCACCGCCAAACAGCCTTGGTGTCTGTGGTTGCCACACACCACAAGGATCCAACAGTGGCATTGGTCAATGGGACTAGCTCCCAATGTCTCAACATGGCCAGTTTGCTCGGCTGCTGATTGATTGCCCAGTGCATCAAAGTGCATCAGACTTTTCCACCTGATCCACTCTGCTGCGTCTGGCAGGGTGAGGGTTCAAGAAACAAGTTCCGGGTCCAGCTCTCGTTCATGGGTTGATTTCCTCCTTGGTTGCAAGTGTACCAAGGGGTTTCACCTGATAATTAGTCTTCAGCAAGTAATGATTTCTTTTTCACATCCCAAATTAGTGGCAAGCTGTTCAAGTGTGTTTATTCTCGCAAAATTCCACAAATGATGAGAGACCTGAAAAGCGTTGTTGGTCCTTTTGTGGAATTTGGTTCCTTCAGTTTCTAAGCTCAGCTCCCATATTGCTTTGAGAGGAGAGAGTTCCAGACGGCATGTTGGTTATGTAGTTTGTGGGGCATATGGTGAATGATCTTTTCAGTGATTGTGTTGCAGCAGACATGACTTCAAAGTGGCGGTTAATCACTTGCTGCCGGGTGGAATTTGAAGTTGCATGATGTAAAACCGGCAGATTTTCAAGATTTTCCGGTTTCAAACTTCTTCAAAAAATCACAGCTCGATCTTTTGTTCTGAGTACAGTCTTCTTTTACAAGGCCCAGCTCTTTTGTCTGGTTTCGGGCTCCCTGGTTTCTTGTATAAAGCCTATGTGCCCGAAACCCGGCTCTCCTGCAGCATATGGTTAAACTTGAGCTTGGCAGCATACAAGCAGTTTCCTTACACATGTACACGCAGGGCCAGAGATGAAGTAATGACAACCGGCAATGTTGGGCCCACGTGCCACATTCAGTGATGCCTGCAATTATTTCCTGTACTTGATCTACCTGTACACCGGCCCATGGAGCGCCATGTTTTGCCCATCTTGACCGCTCTTGTCATAACATTGTATCTGCTTCTACGTGGTTGCATGATGGGAAAAAACCCAGCTCAACTTTGTAAGTGTTGACAAGACACAGGCATGTATTCAGACCAGTATGCACGGTGATATGTTATTAGTGAAAGTTCATTCTATTGGCGTTTTTGTTGCTTGGATGAAAACGGCACAGGACCCTTGTCCAATTGATAACTTGTCATGGCTTACGTCACAAACAGCAGAAGCACACTCATTTACTTGCCTAACTACTTGTTCACTGTGGTGTCAAATGCCAATACATTTGTACATGTAGTTCATGTACGTTCTACATCCTCTGTAACACAGTGCATATAATAATCATGGTGACGATGAGCACAAAGTGTAGCCAACTGAAGTTTTACTGGACAGAAAGGACGCCACGTTGGAAAAATAATTCACCGAAATTGCCCACTTATATTCGTCTTGAGTCAGAGTGGTATGGTCATCACATTTATCACAGTGCTGTTAGAGTGACCGTAGCTACAGCAAACAAACTTTGTGTCCGGGAAATGTAAATTGGCCCATTTGCCCTTTGAATTTGATTAACATTGTACATGCTCAGTGCTTCCCGAGAACTTCTTCGGGAGAAATTTAAGCACTTGTCAATCACACCTTGCAAATCACAGGCTGGTGATTTTGTTCCCCCCCCCACAATCTCACTGGAAAGCTCCGGACTTGCAGTGCTGAATAAAATGCGTCGGCAAAGGGCAAGCCAGATGTTCAGACTGGGTACAGCACTTGATGACCACTTTACAAACTCTTTTTTTTTCATTTCCCTACGAAACCCACTATTGCTGCAGTTCTGTGGATGTTCAGAGAAAATAATATAATGAATGTAAAACGAGATGAGTATTTAAGAGCATGAGAAAAATGTTTGTGATTGACCAAAGCAGCTAATTAATTTTATAGAAAGCACATCTATGGCCAGTTCGGACAACGATTCTTGTGAACAGCGCACATTATATTTAGCCTTCCAATGAGTCCCAAGCATGTAAAGTTTTTGAGATGATGTCTCTCGTGTTCAAAACCTTGGAACCCAAACCTCAGAATTGACTTCAGTAGCTCCATAGGTTTGTTGCAAGAGTTACACAATTTAAATCAAAGTTCCAATTTCATTATTTCTTCAGAAAAGATTTTTACCGTTCAGTCGAGTCACAAGTTTCTTTAGTACCTTGCCAGCTCTTCACATTTTTGGGAGATGTACCATGTGTCAATTTGAATGTATTTTTGATAATCAGAAATGCTTTACAAGATTTTACTTGTTTTACCAGATTTTGCTTGGTCATTTGATTTTGAAGATGGCTGCGTATAGGATGACCAAAATGTCCAACATTTAGAAACAGCTTGTTTTCATTGTGGAATCATGGGTGACAGTGTGATTTTTTTTTTGTGTTTCCCCCTCCGTTTACGAAACAAATTCTTTTTTAAATTTTGGAGCTTTTTCAGAATCTGATTACCATTAACAATTTAATTTGTTAAAATACGCCTTCCTTTGAAAGAAAAGATTCATTATTATTGACTAGTGTTATGTTGCATTCCAGCCCCCCCCTTTTTTAGATATATATTTTGCTGCGGGAAAAAAGCCTCTGTTACATGAGTTAACTTAGGGCAGAAATGGAGATTTTTATGTCCCATTTCATGCTATGCCACATAACGACAACAACTTGGCATCATTTAAAGGGAAGAACTAATACATTATCACCGGCTGGTACAGAGAAGACTTATCCTGTGGACGCATGTCCTGCCATCATGACGATGCTCTCCTTCATTCTGCAGCTCGCAGAAACTGAGAGCCAACATTTTGTTTTCAAGCATACACAGCCTTTTTTGCCTCTAATTGATTGGTTAAAAGTGTTAAGCAGTCATTTAATTTATTATTTATTTTGGGCTTTATTAATAATGCAACTGCTGCCTATCTAGTCAAGCGTTTCAACCTGAACCTTGAAAGTTGTTTGTGGGTGAAGTGGTATTTTGCTCTTCATTTCGCCTGCAATCATTCAAGAAGTGTCTACTCATATTCCATTTCATGCGTACTCATTTTTTTAACCAGTGCTCCAAGGAAAATATGTTTTTACAATTTTAGGGCTTGTTTCACTTATTTATTTTTTTTTCTTGAAAGTATGTGTTTAACATTATCAGTTATTTTTCAAAATCATGACCTGCAGCCGTATTTCTAGCCCAAAAAATTGAAAAAAAAAAGTAAAGTGAAGCTTTATAATTGTTCATGAACTCGGATATTTGTCGGCGGACCGCAATTTGCATGCATAGGTCTTTTAAATTAACAAAAAAAAGAGAGAAACTTGTATAGTAATACTGTGTACATAATTCTATAAATAAACATCATTTGCATAAACAGTGGTCACACTGTACATGTGTCATGCTTATGTCTTCAAGAGGTCCAGTTGTATAATTGGATGTAAAATAAAATAAAACCCGAAGCTTTCTAGCAAATGTGTTGGATGTGTGTTGTGTTACAGCCAATGTCCTGCTTACTGTTCTATTCCAAACATCCCATTGGTTACTTTCTGCGTTTCTCAGTCTTCTCCTGTCATGGTCATTGTATGAACAACCTTTTCCTAGTGGTGCTGGCGAAGGATGCCACCACCAGCAGCTGCAAATGAGTGGTTCAAACCCCTTCACTCTTCCGTCCGTTGGCCTTTCAATTCATGTTATTCCTATCTCTTCTACTCTATTTCGGTTTTACAACTTTCCCTGCTTGTTTTTCCTTCCCCTTTCCATTGCTTTTCCATCCTTTATTGCTTTATTTTTTCTCCTTTATACAATTTACCCTTCAGCATTTCATTTGTTTGTGTGAGGAAGGAACAAACCTCCTCCGCCATGTTTCCTTTCTCTCTCCACTCCTATTTTCATGACCTTGCAACCCATTTGTTAGTATTTTTAAAAAATATATTTATTTAAATAGTATGAACTGAATGCATCATATGGATTTGATAAAAAAAAAACCATTGCACCCTGTGGTATTAACTTGCACTGTTCCTTTTAGCTATTGTATGAAAACGTTGACCTAAGAACTTTAACCCTTGACCCACCGTCAGTGGTGTGCGGCAAATGTACGGCCACGTGCACTTTGTAATGGAGATCAACGTGCACACCACGGGCTTCCTCAATTTACAAACTACCAGTGGCAAAGGTCATGCATAATAAACACATCCATGTGGCATGGCATTTCGGTCTGTCAGAATTGCCGTATGTTTACGTCAGCTTTTTCGTGCTCGGAGTCCACGAAGGCATCTAAGTTTGAGTGCGAAAGGTCTATCCTGTTCCTGGGGATCTAGACAAGCATCGCGAGGCGGAAAGGCGCTCAAAGTTTGGCAAGAAAATAACATTTGGGGACTTGGAATGGGGGATACCGATGAAATTCTTACGCCGCTGCGGGTGGCAGTGAAGGAACAGGTAAAACCCGGCTACGGTGTCGTGGTAGTAGGCCTGCCCATCTGGGCCTAGCTGTATTAACTTCACGATGGGCGCACGGACATGCAGGGACGGATTACAGTCAGTAGGCCTGGCCTATCTATGTCTAACCTGAACACAGTTGACAACGTTTGGCGTGCCCAACTGTAGCCAGGTAGTTGGGAAGGAACATATGCTTTATACGTAGCTAGGCCTAGTTTTAGCATGTAGGCTAGCTCCTGCCTGTTCGGCATGATCGGCCCCGGCCGTGCATGCCGTGTCAGATAAGGCTATGGCTACATACTATTTCAAGAACTCAAAAGTCACTACTCCATCATATGGGTTTTGGTCACTTCGCCCCATTTTCCACTTCGCCCCATTGATTATACTTTGCCTCCTTCGGTTTCGAATCAACTTGTGTTCTGTTGCCTGCCAGGGCACCCTCACCAGTCTTTAAATGAAAAAGCTCTTCCCGCCACACCAAGTGACCTCTGACCTCCTCTGCTTACTGCAACGGGCGCTTCGTGTGAGTAAATGTTTTCGTGCGAGAAATTGGCATATTTCATTGATTTATACTTGTTATTTGTATGCCCTTTTGGTGTGTTATTATCCTTTGACTTATTGTCAGCCTTTCTTGAGGCCTTGTATATCCCAAACTCAGTCCTTGCAGCCGTTTATAGCCTTGTTTTAGCAAGGGTTCTGTGGCTACCAACCACACATGCAGGGACCATGTCGGACGGGTCGGCAGATGAATCTGCGGTGTCACGACCCATGTCACGCTTCCCCATGCGGGACCGGGACGACCCTGATGATCATCTTTCGCACTTCCCTATTGATCGGGACCTTTACATAAGGCCAGATGCACGCCTCCCTTCATGGGGCCGTGATCAGGCAGAGGCATCACGTACTGGATGAGGGCAAAGTGGTTCGATCTCCAGACCCCCACAAGATGGAGCTACAGCGGGGTTCTCACCCCAGCAAATGCAGGTCTTGACTGCCATGCAGCAGACCCAAACTGAAATGTTTAAAGGCATATTGAGAAAGCTTTTGAGAAAATAGAGACATGCCAAGAAAGAGTCTCCTGTCCTACTTCTCGTTGGCAACACACAGCTAGAAGTCATCGCACAACTGCACCCAGATGGCCCAAAATCCCGTGCAATCAGCAGAGCCCCTGGCGAGTCTCATTGGAAAAATGAATGTTACAGCCGAAGATGTTGTTTCAGCACCAATTTTTCTAAGGGCCTTATAGGCGGATCTAATTCAGTCTGTCCGAGTAGATCCCACTTACCAGAGTCTGGTCTCTCTGTCAGAAGAAAGTCTTCACGAGTTGCAGTGGAGGAAACACTGCCTCAGACACTGGAATGGCAAACCACTGGTCCTGTCATATCCTCAACTGACGATAACGTCGGATGCCTCAACTCATGGTTGGGGAGCTCATTGCCAGCTTGGCAAAATGGGGGGGGGAATAGACTGCAGAGGAGAGCACCAACCATATCAATTATCTAGAACTTCTTGCTTCCTTTCTAGCCCTGCAGACCTTTGCCGAGAACAAGACAGATTGTCACATCATGTTACATCTGGGCAATACAACTGCTCTGGCGTACATAAAGCACAAAGGAGGAACTCGCGCAGAAAATTTGTCCCAAGTGGCTGTGAAAATGTGGAAATGGTGCTTGACGAGGAATATCATGCTGACAGCTTCTCATGTTCCCAGGGTGGACAATGTGTTGGCGGACCAGCAGTCCCGAGTCTTTGTGGACAGGTTAGAGTGGATGCTAGACCCAAGGTTATTTGCAATCAATCAATTGGCGATCACAAGTAACTCGTTAAGGTTCATCCACTCCAGATTACAGAAACAAAGCCGACCTGGCCATCCACTAAAAAGTGCTGAAGTTAAGGCCTTTGAGAAGAAATCCTTGTGTCCAGAGGAGGGCTGTGTCCTGTTACATCAACTGTACAACTCCCCTCCGGAATGGGGAAACTCGGCTTCAGATCAATCACATGAAACCTCATAAAAAGGTGGCATCTTCAACAGTGAGCCGTTGCATTGTTGAAATGTTACGTCTGGCTGGGGTTGACACCACAAAGTTTAAGGCACATTCCACGCGTGGTGCAGTGACTTCAGCATCTTTTAGTTTAGGGATATCCTTGCAAGTTATCACAGATTCAGCGGATTGGGCGTCAGATTCCAGTTTCCACACCTTTTATCATAAGTAATCGACAAGTTTGCCCATGGCAGAGGTAATCCTGAAATCAGCTTCAAAATTGCAAGTTGATTCGAAACCGAAGGAGGCGAAGTATAATCATTGATTATGCAAGGGTGAGTAGTTACCTGAAGTATGATCAAGATTATACGAGTCCTCCGGAGGTGAGAATCAACTCCCAGCCGGTTGTTGGGGTAATGTCAGTATCCCTAGCCCTTGATTCTCCATGTTTGAGATTGATGAGGCATGATTTGGACAGCTGGTATGCGTTGACCCTACATGTTTATAAACTCTGAGTTTGATTACTTGTTCTGATGCAAATATTTGTCATGATCTTCTTATGCACATATGATCTGGATGCATGTGCATGTAATGTGTATTGTAAGTGGCGTAGAGCTAAGTTTGCTCATTTTACAGTTCAGTTGATACTTTGCCTTTTGAATGTTTTTGAAGTTTCACTTGTTAGTGTTAAAGTTGTGGCTTTTTTCTTGTTCATTGCTATATTGTAGAAGATGTTGCCTAATGGCGTGTTTCAAAAAAAAAAAATTTTTTAGCCCACCCTATCTTCATCCCGTCTTGGCGAGCCATAGGGATACGACCCACCCAGATAGTGCAGCACTTTCAAAGAGGTCAGAGGTCACTTGGTGTGGCAGGAAGAGCTTTTTCATTTAAAGACTGGTGAAAACGCCCTCGCAGGCAGCGGAAGGCAAGTTGATTATCACCTCTGGAGGACTCGTATAATCTTGATTATACTTCAGATAAGTACTTACCCTTGCGTAATCAACGATTATCGTTCATTTTGTTCTTCAGTAACAAGAGGCATAGGTCTAGATGCAACAAGTAAAAACATTGACATTTGAGTACCCAAATAACGATTTGAGAATCCAACTTTCAAAGGCCAAAACAATGCTTCTGATTTCCCGACCGCGGGACCCAAATTTTTGGCGAGACCCTAACATTTTTATTGGCAAGTTAGCAAAAAAAGTTTTCTTCATGTTTCGTTGTCGCTTTGATAAAAACACGTGCGCAGAGTGCTGGTTCCCGCCGCACCCATGTAAGAGAATGCATGATGGAGTGTGGTAACCAGTCTATTCATGCCGCGGCGACCATACATGTACGTGATCTGTCACGCATCGAAAAACATCGATGATGCAAGATTTCTTCACGTTAATACTTAGTATTTTGTATGTGTGTATTTTCTATGTTGATCAGTTTAATTTCAGGTTGTTTTGCTCGTACTTGAAGTTAGCATTGTTTCCACAAAATTTCCTGCGTGCTGAGCTTCATCCAATCGCCCAGACAGCTGTCTGGATGCATTGACAATTATTACCAGAACAATGTCAACGGAATTGTGTGTCACTTTTAAATAAACTTGAAGAGGATGAGAAATAACCCTGATGCTAGTCCAACCATACATGTAGGCCTCTGTATCAATTCACCGTAATGGACAGTGCAGTCGACAGTAATTTAATGCCATAGAGTTTTCTAGAATAACTACATGTCATTTGTGGAACTCCCCTCTCGACCATTTTTGAAGAGGCTTGTAACACACTCGAGCATGGATGGCAAAGTGGAAATGGGGTGAAGTGGAGATGGGGCGAAGTGGAGATGGGGTGATGTGGGGATGGGGCGAAGTGGTTGGGGCGATGTGGGGATGGGGCGAAGTTGTTAGGGGCGATGTTGAAATGGGGCGAAGTGACTGTAAACCCATCATACACAGAGTATGACGGAGTAGTGACTTTGAGTTGTCAAAGTACATGTAGCTACATACTTACTAGTACATAAGGGAGAACAATGATTTTTTACTTTTTGGTCGAGTTTGGGCCGCCCGTTCTTGACACGGGTTTCTTGTTCTCACCCTCGAACGGCGGGTTCACGACTCAAGAACACTGTTCTCGGAACAGGATCACACACCATCTCCTCGTCAGGGTTTTACAGGAACACACGGAAAAACTAGTGAGATTTTGATTTTTGAACTGCTGCAAAGAGTAGAGAGATGGCTTCCAAAGCCATAGACGGTGGGAAGTTTTGCAAAATTAACGTTAATTATTTACCGTAACACAGAAATGAATGTTCCTGTTTATATAGAAAAGAATTCAGCCCATCCAAACATTAACTCTCGAATAACGTAGCCTACATGGACGCCGCCAAGTTGCTTGTTGCTTGTCACTAACTACCAGCGATAACCGGTTGTTTGTTCCCAGCGTTCGAGTGGCCGACCCACGAACAACAAATCAAGCTGTTCGTGAACATACGGGAACAAGCTGCCCGAACTCGGCCCAAAGGACTTCATCTATGCATGGGATTTGTTATCACTTTGATAAGAGATCCTTTTTTTTTACATTATATTTTTGGGGGATTATGTGCTAGCTGTCAGAAAGTGGTAACAAGTCCAAAGAAGAGTCAAATTTAGGAGAGAAAATATTGACGAATTTACTTAGTAAATGCTTCAAAATTTTCAGACAAGCCTCATAGGGTTTGTTCTGGGTATGGAACTCCCTCCCCGGCTTATGTGTGAAAAGTTAGCGATGCCCATGTGTGTGGAAATTGAGAACCCTATGAGACTGGTCTGAAAAATTCTGTTTTCTCGGTAAATAACTTTGTATTTGAAGTTTGAACTTTCCTGGACATGATGTGCTTTCTGATGGCAAATAGGTCCCTGGAGGGAATAATTACTGGCATCCGAATATAGAACTCTTCCCGATAAATGCCCACAGGAGCATTTAAAGTAGCAGTGACAATTTGGTAAAGAACTCCGTGTAGTTAAGTTGGATTAGCTACAGTGCAGTGTATTGTGGGAAAACCAAGGGAAGAGCATCTCTCTCTTTCCTTACCCACAGTGGTCTGTGGTCATTATTCCAAGCCATCCAAGTGAAACACCTGATTCAGCTATCTGTGCTTCATTCCCAGTGCTCCTGGCAATGTCGTTACAGTTCACTGCACCTGTTTTGACAATGAAAAGCACATACACAAACCAGCACATGTAACATTGTGCAAATAGACTACAGATGAGATTCAAAGACTCACTTATGATTTACTGAGTACAACGAATTGTAAAATTCCTTTTTTTTCAACATGTTTTTGTTTGTTTTATTTAAAGCCAGCAAACCATTCCATGTAAAAAAAAAGATTGTTTCAACTTACAAGTTTGCCTTCACGTACATGTAACGGCATGTACATAAAAAACTAGTTTTGCCCAGATATCTCTATTAACCTTTTATCAGTATGTATACCAAACACCATCTTTATCATGAATATTATCGTCACAAAGTTTGGGCTAATTTCTTGACTTTTAACCACAATTTTGAGTACACACAGCTAGTAATTGAACAGAAAGTGAACACGTAATTTCTTTTACAGCAGACATAGAAGTAGCTCCAGATTGTTCCTGCTGCAAATCTGCTAGTGCGTAGCAACGATGTTATGCGCAGTGGTATTTATTTTTTCAGGGAGATTTAGTTCGGAAGTTGAAGGAGGAAAAAGCTGATGTAAATGAAGTCAAGAAAGCAGTGGTGGAGCTGAAAGCTCGCAAGAAAGCTTTGGAAGACAAGGTATAAGTTAAAACAAGACGTTTTTGAGAATTGCATTTTACATGTACCTGTCTGCCCACTTCCATCATTCAGGGATTTATCAAATTAAGCTGGGCACTTCAGAAACCTAACCTCTGTCTTGCTATGAATAGGATTGCCCAGTTGTGTTTCATTGAAAATCATTTGAAAGATGTGCTGCATTGAGAAGGATCACCAAGTTTACTTCCTCACGTGCATTTATGCTGCAACTATTTTTATCAGTTTCTAGATGTCTGGAACTTTTCATGAATCCTTCAAATTTCTACAACTCTTAGTGGATTTTAAGGGTTTTGAAGGGTTAGAAAAAAAAGCGTCATTGGTCAGTTGCATGTTTTTTTCCTCTTGAGGATTTAGGAAATGTCCTGGTAATTTTGTATCGGGGCTCTTTGTTGTAGTGGTCTTTACTCGTCCTGTTTGTACCTTGGATGATTTCAGGAGCTTGCCTTGGCTCCCAAGGATGACTTTGACCGCCTCAAGATGGAGGACACGCTCAAGAGGCGATTCTTCTACGACCAGTCCTTTGCCATATACGGAGGTAAGGCTAAGGTGATGGGTTGGCCTTCCAAGACTTCGCGAACGTGAACAAAGAGGTCGGGTTTTTCCCCGGCAGTGACAGTGATGTCTGATTGGGTTGGTATGCTGTGCTTAAACAGGTTTGCCGAGAGTCAGTTTTCATTGAAAGGCAGGGCTTTCTGTGGGCACTTGCTTCCCAGGTTAAACTGTTGGCCAAGGTGGTCTCCCTTTCCAGTGAGGGAGCTTTTGCAAACATCCTGTGTTTGCCAAAGCTCTCGCTCTTGACTAGGCCATCGACTTGTTCAAAAACAATCCTCTGATGAGCAAATTATGAGTAAATCACTCTGTTAACCCTAACCCTACATAATACTACAAATTACTTCCTGTGGTAAAATGTAGTACTGAGCGCTGTCGCTTGTAAGAGGACATGACTTTATTGTTCTGTGAAGCCATAAGATACAATAGATAAGACAATGTACCATACAGTGCGGTGGCACTATGAATGCATGGCTTCATTGTTCTCTGTACGAGTAACAATGGAAGTAACCTAGCCAGAAGTAGTAATCTGTAGCGCTAGGTCCTTCAGGCTCAGACTATTACTTAGTATTTTGTAGTACTGTGTAGTGTAAGCCAAACAATATGCTTGGCGGTTAGGGTTAACAGGTTTTCTATCCTGCTGTGCACATGGAGTGTGTTTACAAGTCCAGCTGACAGGCAAAGCAGTTGAACTCGGACAGCGAGGGAAAGGTACCACAGGACTGAATCAAGTATTGAACCTCCAAAAACTTTAGAGCAGGTCTTTTTTTAGGTTTAATACAACTCACAATTCAGTGATTTTTTTTTGCAATTGCGTAAGTCCTGTTAGTCTGGACTTGTCTGTTACCTAGGGGTAAGCGGCCTGTATGACTTTGGGCCCGTGGGCTGCGCGCTGAAGGCTAACTTCATCAACTTGTGGCGGAACCATTTCATCATTGAGGAGGGCATGTTGGAGGTAGACTGCAGTATGCTGACGCCAGATGCCGTCTTCAGGTCAGTTAAGATCAACGGCATTTCCTGTGCATTATCATCCTTGTGCAAACTTTCTTAAAACTCACTCGGCCTTCAGAATTACACGTGACATTATTTGGTGAACACTTGGCACCCAATTTTACATTTTTTTTATTTTTAGGATATCTTGGGGTTGGTTTCCATCAAAAGTTACAGAAAAGATCATACACATTGACGTATATCTTTGGCCGACTATTTTTTTGCATGCTACATCTCATGAAGATTGCCAAGTGGTAAATACTGCTTGATTTCAGGGCTTCTGGTCATGTTGAGCGGTTTGCAGACTACATGGTCAAAGACCTGAAGACTGGGGAATGCTTCAGGGCGGACCATCTACTCAAAGGTAAATACAGGGGGATATTCCATAATCTGTTTAACACAACTTGAAGCAGTCTTCTCTAAAATGTTTTCCCACATTCAGTTTGAGAAGAATTTTTATATTGTCCTGCCACCACTGGACCGTTTTTTTTCTAATTTCCCCAAATAAAATTCATGATTCCTGGAAATACTACAGGGTGTAATCAAGAATGTCAGGATGTGATCAAGAATATTGATTCACTTTGAAATGTTTTCAACTTCAACTCAAACTTTACTTGGTAATTTTTAAAATCTTTATGCAGTTATGTTAAAGTGTTTGTTTCTGTTCCCCTTGATACACTGTAATTTTCTTTTTTTTTTTTTCTAACAGCACATCTTGAGAAGCACCTACAAGACAAGAAGACCACAGTCGAGCAACGTGATGAGTACGCAACCGTCTTGGCCCGGCTGGACTGCTACGGCAAGGACCAGCTAGCCGAGTTCTTCAAGAAGTACAACCTCAAATCGCCCCTTACCAACAACAGCCTGAGCAAGCCCATGGACTTCAATCTGATGTTTGGCACGTCCATCGGGCCCACAGGCAACTTACCGGGGTGAGCAGTGTTCAGTCAAGAAGTTCACGTTGACTGATGCCGTGTCAGAAAAGAACAAGAACTTCAATTGTTTTCATTTCTGAAAGGCTTTGGATCTCTTGTGTCTGCGTGGAATTGAGCAGTTTAAGGTTTTCCTTTCCTCCATCCAATACATGGGCTAGTGCGGCTGAAGTTTTTTGATACGTAATTTGTATTGGCTTTTAACCGTTGCTATTTTGATATGATTTTGGACCACTCCAGCAGATATGCCAAAGCCATCCACGCAGAGGGCTTTGGAGGGTGCAATTCATGACCAAGACTCCAAATGGAGTACTGAGTGAAAAGGATAATTTTGGAGTATGTTGTAAACCTCTAGTTTTGTAGAGTTTTCTACAGCAGAGCAAAAGGGGGGGGGGTCATGTTAAGTCAATATTGAAGTGAAGTAAAATAACGGAAACTCTCCATCTGCACTGCTTATCACCACATTTGTTAATTGGTTGGCTCTCTTTACAATGAGAGATGTAGGTCCTTAGATAATGCTCTTATTTCTCTTGCACTGTGAATGCTGTTTGAAGCTGGATTCTTGTTGATGGTTTCCTCGACTGTTCCTCTTCTTTTTGCTATGATAACCCCTGCCCCAAATATGCCTCTAAAATTGTTTCTCAAAAGGATCTAAACCTTGTGAGAAACTGGCTTTGTCCCCACATGGTTAGGCATCACGTGGACCTCTTGTATTCAAGGGTCTATATAGATATGAGGTTGGCCCCTGCCCTTTTTGACTTGCGGTTTCCTTACTCCTTAAAAAAGCTATTACTTGAATTTGTTGTTGCAGCTACCTGCGGCCTGAGACAGCCCAGGGTATTTTTGTCAACTTTAAGCGTCTTCTGGAGTTCAATCAGGGTAGGCTGCCGTTTGCTGCAGCCCAGATTGGAAATGCCTTCAGGAACGAGATCTCGCCCAGGTCCGGCCTCATCAGAGTACGGTAAGCGTCTGGCCTAACATGGCTTGAGAGTATCATATAGCGTAATTTTCCTGGAGCCAGTAAGTGGTAATCATTGCTTGACTGGTAACAAGTCACAGGCAGTAAATTTTCCCTGAAATTTTGGCTGATAACTGTTGTTTGTTGCTAACCAGATTTTTGAGTGCTTGGCCAATATCAGGCCTCGGTATTTGACTGGACCATTCATTCTCTTGCCTCAATGTAGGGAGTTTACCATGTGTGAGATTGAGCATTTTATTGACCCGACCGACAAGGACCATCCCAAGTTCTCTTCAGTGGCCGACCTTAAGGTGGCACTCTTCTCCAGCTGCGATCAGCTGGATGGCAAGTCGGCCTGCCAGATGACCATTGGCGAAGCTGTGGAAAAGGTAAAAGCTGACGCCAGGCTGATTGGCTACTTGCAGGGAGCAAGAGGGTGCGTTGATACCAAGCAGTGACGTTCTGTCAGGATGAGACCTGAAAGTGTTTACTGTCAACTAAACCTCAATGACTTCGGTTTACAATGACTCAATGAAGTTGTAAATCCGTCACTTGTTCCTGTGCAGAGAGGTCTGAAGTTTGTGTGGGGATGTATGGTGGGTGTGTATCAGTAGCCCAGGCCAAGCCACCTGCCAAATATCCCTCCTTTGCAGAAATATCCATATGCAAATTAGGAGGTTCAGTTGGCAAACTATTTACCCAGTGCCTATGTGAATAAACTACCAATTTGCAAACTTATTGTGTAAACTTCATGCCTGGCTGTGTGTGATCAAGCATGCATGGTGTGTTACCCAGAGAAAGATTGTCACTTGGTGAAAAGGGCTCCCTCTGTTGTTCATGCACAGAGTAACTGTGTGCCCCAACTTAACAAAAGAGAGGTAACTAAAAGCCTTTGAAATAATCTTGCACTCCATAAATCAATAGGAAGTCTCAACATTTTGTCACCCACACAGGTCCTGGTTTTTATCAGGATACCAAAACGAGTGCTCATACATCAAACCAAGGAGCTCAGTTTATAATAATAATAATAATGACCTTTATTTTCATATGGTAGTCATGTCGTCTAAAAAGAAGATGCTTTTCAATGGAGTATAAAAATACTTATCTTATGTAAATTACTCAAAGATACAAAACACTTTGATTTAATAATAAACACGACGATTAAACATTAAATAAAAAAATGAAAATTATAATATTGGAAAATACAATCACATAAAATCCGTACAATACAATTGCATAAAAATCATGTTATGTAAAATAGATTAACAAGAATCGGTTAACTATGGTAACAAAAACCCTTTTGCAGTGAAACCCCACCCCAAGAGGCTGTTGGACTTTGTTTTTTCCGAACCCAGTGCCAAAGCCAGCTGTTATGGGCCTACCAGACCTATCCCCACAGAATTAAACACTTTACTACTGTTTAATTCTGTGTGGTTGGGGAAGGTTAGGGTTAAGGCTCGAACTGGAGCAGTACGTACCCTTCTCAACCAAATGGGTAACTGCAGATGACAAATGACGTCAGTGTTCATGAAGTCAGTCAAGATATGCTTTTTTTTCTTTGGCTTCTGCAGGGCATCATAGCCAGCCCGGTGCTGGGTTACTTCATGGCCCGCATCTATCTCTTCATGGTGAAGGTGGGTGTGGACCCAGCCAAGCTGCGATTTCGTCAGCACCTGGACAATGAGATGGCCCACTACGCCTGTGACTGCTGGGATGCTGAATGCAAGACGTCATACGTGAGTGACTGTAGAACACGATTAAGGGGTGTAATACTGCTGGCCCACACTCGATGTTGTCGACAATATTCATTTAGTTGTGGGTTGGAGTGCATATTCTAATGGCAGAAGAAGCTGTTTTGAATTTTAGTGCTGGGTGGGCCGTTGTCAACCTTATTGCCAGTTAAGGCGATTGTGAAAGTGAAGCAACCTGTTGTCACAAAATCTTTGCAGCAAATTTCCCTGAAGTTGAAATCTGTTCAACTCTTGCGAATAGATTTCAATCCGCTGTCACAAAATTGCATCTGTACTCAATATGAAGCAGCCTTTGGTTGGTTTGCAGTCATACCATCATTCATTTCTTCCTAGATGTCCAGAGATATGATGCATATGATGCAATGATGCCCACGTCATCACTGTATTATGTTGATCCCTGGATAGAGAGAAGCATCTTATGATAAAGTGCCCTGCTCAAGGACAGCCAGATTTTGAATCCAACAGAATGGAATTATTTAGTCTGACATTAAATTGGGTTTCGCAGGGTTTCTGGCCTAAATTCTGCAGAGGGTAATGGCCAGTAAAGGTGTTACAGAAATGAGATTTGAAACTTTGCGCAGCAGAGGAATAAACTTGATTTCAAGTTTTTTTGGTGGATGGCATCGATCACTAATTCGTTTGAGGACCACTGCTTTACCACTCAAAACAGACACTTCCGTGTTCTGCTGCCAATCTGTCACAATGTGAAGTAGCTACCTATTTCTGTGTCATGTTTCAGGGTTGGGTGGAGTGTGTGGGATGTGCTGACAGGTCTTGCTATGATTTGAGCTGCCACATGAAGGCCACCAAGGTACCGCTGGTTGCCGAGAAGAAACTCCCACAGCCGATATCCTTGGGAAATATAGGGTTTCAATGGATAAGTGACATAACAAGTTGCCTAGTGGTTTTCCGAGTCCAGTACCCGAGGTTTGTTTTGAGATTTGAAATGAGGAAAGTTTTGTCTTTCTTGCTAAATTTTAGGGCGAAAACTGAGGATGGAAAACAATTTGAGTGCCTCTGTGACCAGAGATCCCACAAAGTGAGTCTTAAGACAAATTTTTCAATAATTTTGGGGTTGCATTGGAAGGAGCAAAGTGAGTTCTTTGTTTTGATGAATCACTCGGCTTAGCATTGTCATGAAAATGGACATTATGTGGGTGAAAATGTTGAGGGTTTCCGTTGATTTACACTGTCCAAGATTCTTGGAGAGGCCTTTGACTCAAAACAGGCTTCTGGCTGGGCAGTACTCGGGTCATTAGTTTTTTTCAAGGTTATTGGGGATGCACTTGCTAGCCCAAAGACCAGTCTTGCCTTAACCTCTAACCTCCACAAGACTGTTGACGTCATCGAGGTGGTCCCACAGAAGGGCATTGTGGGTAAAGCCTTCAAGAAGGATGCCAAGGCGATCATGGAGCACCTGGCGAGCATGTCGGAGGATCAGGTCGTGGAGTTTGAGCTGGCCCTCAAGGAGAAGAGGTGAGTTACTTGCATGCAATGTGGCTGAGAGTCCAGTAGGAACCAGCGTTTGTGGAAGAGCTAATATTACATTGCTGTGTAAGTGCACACACATACTGCAGGCTCGATGGAGGCATTTTAGCGAAACCTAGACCAGTTACGTCTTAAAAAAAGTGACTCTTTGTCAAAAGCTGCAAAAATGATAATCATGCCCAATCATCACCAAAAAATATGTATTTAGTATTTCCTCATTTGAAAACTAAACGTGGCTCACATCCCCCAAACTGTTTGCTTTGTACTACTAGGAAAAACTTGATAAAAAACTTCCAAGGTAAAAGATTTTCCAGTTTGATGTACAATGTATCATTGCCTCGGTTGGCCCTTTTTAAGTTTTCTGAGTCAGTCGGTGTCTGATTTGTGTCTTGCTGTTGGATAGTGAAGCAGAAGTACAAGTGGATGGCAAGTCGTTCAGCCTGAAGCCCGACATGGTAACCATCAAGAGATACCAAAAGACACTGCATGGTATGTTAACACGGTTAAGGTTATTGTTGGTTCTTATAATATGCGACCAGATCCCATCAGCAGAGCCAGGATTTTTTCCCGACCTCCAGGCAGGAGAGAGATTTTGCCCCCTCCCCAAAATGTGGCTATTCCATGCCCAGTTTTATTGACACGTGGTATGCATGTAAAGACGTCCCATTCTGAGTACGTCTGGGAAGTTTGAATTCTAGTCTACGTGAGGCTTTGTTGTGACGGAAATTTCTTTAATTTTAGGGTTTCATGTGTGCAGGTCCTTGCACATTCAGCATCTTTGTTGAAAGAGTAAATTTTTTGATTATCTTGGAAAGATGGTCATTTAAAATGAGAATGATTGCCCCATTATGACATTAATGTCAAAATGAATGGAAGTTATCAGTGGGAACTTCCTGGAGATTTGGCACAATAAAGAAATGAATTTCTTGTTGCAAATAATGAGTGGTACCATCACACCCTCGCCCATCTCAATTCTCTTTTCCATCAGTTGAGGAGATCAAGCCATCTGTCATCGAGCCCTCATTTGGAGTGGGCCGAATCTTGTACTCCATCCTGGAGCACAACTTCAAAGTCAGGGAAGGAGATGAACAGAGAACGGTAAGATGGCCAGCAATTTTAGTAATAGATGCTTGGAAAGAGAGACCAGTGATGTGACCTTGTTAAGGGGCGGCATGAAACGTGCTCAAGTACAGTCGCTGTGAAGTAGTTGTTCAGAATCTCCTCTTGTCTGTATGGGAGTGTGAGTTTTAATCACTTGGGATCTGGATCAGTTTGTTGGTCCTTCTGAGGTGAATAGAGGGATTTCATATTGGCGCCGTCTGCGCACATCTGCATCGAAACCGAGGCTCTCTGTGTTGAACTTCGTCGCGCGCGCCCGCGGAGTCCACACAGTACATGGAGTATCCGGTTCGTAAGTGTGACGCCACTTCAGTTTAAACCACGCCCACTGCATAAGATACGCGACCATCGCTGGTACGTTAGTTCGCGGTCAATTGTCGTTATTTTTTCTTTTGATTTTACGTGTCGAGTCATCTTGAAAGACTCTTCCTCAAAAACTTGCAGCCTGAAAAGTCTGAATTTAGCATACCTTTATGTATTTTGTGTCTTGACTCCTTACTTTCAATCGTCTGATCGTATTAAGAATTGAAGCTGACACATACAGCCTCGTTTTCAAATGCGGAAGTGCGCAGATCGACGCTAAAAGCGTCGTATTGGGATCCCTCTATTGTCTCGTTTTTGCATCACTCCTGATTAATCTGAGTTTTGGTTATTAAAAGTGGACTTCCTTTGCTTGAATAGATTTTCATTTTATTATTTGTCTTATTGGGTCTGAGCCGCCTGTAGCATTAACCTTTAACCTTTAAACTTTGTAATTGATTATGTTACCTTAAAGACTTTAGTGTCAAGTGTCGAAGTGGAAGTCTCAGCCTCATCCTGACCAAACTCTTTAAGAAAGACACGTATCACTCCTAGCAGATTTAATGGGATTAAATCAATATGGTCGAGTACTCCGTGGCAGCTACTGAGTGTGTTATGACTCTCCTTCTGTCTCTAGTATTTCACCTTGCCAGCCATCGTTGCTCCCTACAAGTGCTCCGTGTTACCTCTCAGCAGCAACAAGGAGTTTGAGCCACTGGTGAAGGACTTGTGTGAGTGCAAACCAACCGAGCTGTTTGACCCTCCTGTTACGTTTCAGTTTGCAGCATTTGTGTGTCTCAGATTGAGATGACTGACAGAAAAATGTAATTGGATGACATGCGTGACGGAACCGTTTCTGCTCCACGGGCCATACAGTGTAGCCCCCCCCCATCAGTGCCATCACTTCTGTTCAGCTCACAGTGAACTGACATTGAACAACTTGAGATGTTCTGGTTTGTCCATTTGTTTAATAAATCCCCCCGGTTGCGTGCTTTTGGTGCGTTCTTCTTTTTAAATTTGTCTCCACATTTGACCAATTGCAGCCAAGGCCTTGTCTGACGCCAACATCTCCCACAAGGTGGACAGCAGCTCTGGCTCTATCGGGAGACGTTACGCCCGGACGGACGAAATCGCTATCCCGTTCGGGATAACGGTGGACTTTGATTCCTTGAAGGAGCCCCACACGGCAACACTGCGGGAACGGGACACCATGAAGCAAATACGCGCCCCGGTGAGTGGCAAATCAGGGCCGAATTTTTTTCCCCTATCCTGTTTGGTAACTGTTAACCTTCTTGATACTTTTGAACATAAGACTTGGTGGTGATACTCACTTGACGTACATGTACCTTATTGCCTATCATGCACGGATATTTCAGCACCCACCTTCTGAAAGTGGCCATCTGATGGACTTGATAAGGAAATCAGTCTGGTTTAGGCATGAGCAGATCCTGCATGCACAACTTAGGCCTTGTCAAATAATTCCACAGTGAAATTTTCCTTGACTAGTCTTTAAACACACCTGTGCTCAGTTTGGTTAGCTCTAACATTTGGTTAAAACAAAAAGATTTTGCTCTTAAGAATTACTGAATAGCTGGCATGGTAAAATATGAATTGTCACAAATTTGCATGCACGATAAACTCCATTATTTGGATTCGCATCTCACTTTCAGGTGGATGAGTTGCCCACAATTGTGAGCGATTTGTCAAACGGTAAGATAACGTGGCTGGACGTTCTGCAGAAGTACCCCAGCTTTGAGGGACAGGAAAGCACATCTGGCCAATAAAGGATGATGCTCATGACATGCTCACCTTCAAGTCCGTTGCAAGTAATACATTTGAAAATATCTTCTTCTTTTTTCAATTTTTGTTTTTGAACATATACTTGTGAATTCAAATTTGAGATCCTCTAAGTTAGCAACTGTTGCAGGATAAAACACGGAAAAAAAGAAATTTGCAAAGCACTGAAATAATTTGTTCATCCAGTAAAACTAAAACTAGTCTAATCTGACAGGCAACCTCCATTTATGCCCGATTAATACAGCCACACCTGATACCAAGTAAAGAGCCCCCATTGTGCGGTGTTGGCCCAGTGCGTTGCTGGATGGCTGTGTTGTCTTTACTAATGCAGCCAGATTCCATGAGCGTGCAGTGGTATGGTATCGTGCATCGCTGGAATGCTGGAAGGCTTTTGTCCCCGCTGATAATCTGCTGGTGCTGGCAGTGACAAACAGTGGTATTGTTTCAAAATAATGACGGATTACCTCCGCTATTGCCAGCACTCTGTGTTGACAGCATATGAACCTTGATTGGCTAGTCCCAGCAGCTCGGTCTTTTGTTACGAGTTCGGTATTTTGTTACAAGGCCCAGTTCGTTAGCTCTGATTTCGGGTACTCCAGCCAGGAATATACGGTCAATGTCTCCGGTACCAGGAATCCCGGTGCCGAGTGGTTAATGCACCCCTGATAGAACTTGCCCGAATCATATAACACAGCAACAGCATTCCCAGTCAGGATTCATTTCAAAGTCATAAATATGTCAGACTTTGGCATAAGTTGATCTTCTAGGTAGTTCTCAAATTTATCTTACACAACTGGTCTCTGGATACTTAAAATCATGTTTACAAAAAAATCTGTGTGAAAGAGTGAATAAAGAAGTTATAAAATGTAACTATGTGGTATTTGTGGGTTACCAATGCCAATGAAATCAGTGGATTTTGTGCATCGAGTGAGAGAAAGTGGACAGTAGATACAGTGGTCAGTTCCAATGTCTCAACCAACTCTATTGCCTTGTCATTGGGGGGAGGGCAGTAATACTGTAGGTAAGGGAGGCGTAAATGGTCGAGTGGTATTGTAATATGTTATGGGTTTGTGCATCAATGAAAAGGAGCACTTCCTTGCCCGTCTAGTGACTTCCCGTGGGGCTGACACCATTGGCATTAACCTGGTCGATGCTCGCCGTTCCCTATTTAATACATGCCACCGGGGACTCTGAATAAAGAAGCAGGCGGTCAACTCAGCTCGTCAGCAATTCAGTGGTACTTGGAGGCCTAACACATTATCTCTTACAATTGTCAGATTGTTTCAGGCAAAACAGGTCATATCTGTGGAACTTACGGATGAGAAATACATGTAGCACCCCTGAAATATGGCCGGCAAATGTGGCACATGTAGTGTATTTGTGGTATCGTGTTGTATTCAGTCTGATAATAGCAGTGCTTAAGAAATTTTCCAGGGTTGCATTGCATCTCTACAACATCTGGCAGTTCAAGTGGCGTTAAAAGTTAGTACATGTAGGAATCCTTATAAGGGGTGAATTAAAGCGTCCGAGACTTTGGTTGGGGAAATTACATAGGAGTGATTTTCAGGGTGATTAAAAAAACAAACAAAGAAACGGTTTGGAAATAAAAAGCAGTGTTGACCTTAGATTTAAAGTATTTTTAGACCTTGTGCAAAGCAGAATGACGCAACTATTAACTTTTAATTATTATGTCAATAATATATCTTTCAGAGATTTACCAAAACACTGAAACAATCCCCAAAATGCCAAGAAATGGTTACAACTTGGTATTTACAGTAAATAGAAAGAGGCCTCAAGTTACTACATGTACATTGTAAATTGTTTTTAAAATCAAAGTCATGCTGACGGGTGAGATTTGTCAGGATTTTTCTTGATGTCAGGATTTTTGCATCAAGATCTTCCTGATTTCATGATTTTTCAAACAATCTTTATAAAAATCTGGAAATCTTAAAAAATCTTATATGTAAATGTGACCCACTCTGTGAAAATGAGTTTTAAGTTGCCAGAGCCACTTTGGAGTAAAAAGTCCTTTAGAATAATTTTGTACGTGTAAATCATTAGCAACCCACAGCATTTTTCATCATGGAGTATCCACTTTCATCAGGATGCCAAACTGAGTGATACATCAAAACAAAAAACTCAATTTGCTCCTTCTAATACAAATGAAAACTCAAAATGTGGCTCTGGTGACACAGGACTCATTTTGACAGAGCGGGTCACAAATGCTGATAGAAAAGTTAGGCTATAAGAGTGCTCTCAGGAAAAAAAACAAATATCATAGACTCCAGCTGGGGGCCCTCAAAACCTTTAGTTATTTTGTGGCTATTTCATTATTCATCAATCTCACCCTTGTACTAAGGTACCGGTATTCTAAATACATATACTAGCTAAGTGAGTCTACTTACAAACATCACTGGAACAACATATTGCTTAGCTTTCCTTTTTTGAAGATGGTTGATTATCATGGAAAGGCAATGTTGGCGTTTACAAGAATTAACAGAAGAGCCTAACTGATGGCTTTGAAAGAAAAGACTGGTCAGATGGTCCCGCTTTCAATGAGGAGGGCCCATTTTTGCCCTATGCTGCCTGGCAGGAAAATTAACGATCTGGTTTAAAAAACAAGTGTGCCAATTTCCGTGAGCTTCTGAACTGGAAACTTTACTCGGCCAGGAAAATATTTAAGAGTCAAAGTAACATGTGGCACAGGGTGCCTGTCGCAGCTGTTCTACCGAGTTCATTTCTCAGTATGCTGAGAACTGTTTTTGAGCATGGTACACCCTATTGGGCCTGGAGTGTACTCTCACTTGTTCATGTATAATTTATTCAAATGACTGACTTTCTATTGTATGAAAAGTGAAAAGATGCAATTTCCAAACTGCTTACATTAAGAACAAAACAACCTGACTTTAGAACAGCTTCCTCAATCAACAAGCTCTCATTGGTTTTCTTCTAAGTGCATATATTTTGTACTTCTCTAAACTCCACACAATACACAATAACAAAATCTTCAGGCATCTGTATATGTTTCCTCAACCTGTTCCCCTATTCTAATATTCAAAAAGCAAAAGGTAATACCCTACTATGGAAACAGTGGGGCATTTCACGTTTCAAACTAACTATGCACCACTTTGTAAACCCCTGTTGGCCTTGTAATGCATCTGTAGGATGCTCATTATGTGCCTATTATTTGACATCAAAAGGCCGTCCAGTGATGAATCTGTCAATCATATCAAAGCTGCGACGAGGTTGGTCGTAGGGTAGGATATGCCCGCCCCCTCGCACTAACACCTGTTGATGTAAACAAACAGACTTTTTACAGCACAAAACTGTACGACTTAAGTAAATGAAGATGTAAAATTGCTGTTGTCAGTTCCTCAAAATTGCACAATCGCTCGAAAATGGTTTCAACGTCAACCACTCCAACTATAAAGGTCACAAAGGAAATGCAATGTCTACGCAGCCACAGGTTTTCAAATAAATTTTTTTTTACATCTTTAACCCACAAATTGTTTAGTTGATACTGTTCGAAATCTTGGACAATTGCAAATGTGGATAGTGCTCTGTTGAAATGAATGTTATGGCAAGAGTCTTTGAGGCTCCAAAAATCTATCCCCAGAGGCAGCACTTGTTATGCACAGGGACATTTGAACTGCCCAGTCAGTGAGTGTGCGCATAAGTGACTCACCTGCTGAAGATTCTGCACCTTCTTGGCGTAGCCGGCAACTTCGGTGTCGCCCTGCACTTTCCAGATCTTCCTCTCGGCAAAGATGTACTCGGCCATGCCCTTCCATTCTAATTGGTCCAGGAAAGCTTCCGTCAGAGGGGCCGCGACAATGACGTCCAGCTGACCGCTGTAAAACAGAATCTGTGTGGCAAATTGTGAAAAAAGATATTTGGTTAATTCAGTGTCCCAGAACATACCTGGACAGTAGCAAAGGGGCCTTTGAAAATGTACGAAAAGGCATACCAGTGTTAAACAGATATTCCACAAATTTGCATACTGTTCCTTATTTGCATGTAATGAATATTGATGATGTGCGTACAGAGTGCTTATGGGTAATTTTGTTTCGAAATATTCCATCCTAAGGTTTAAGTATAAGGTCCGAACGCTTAATTTAACAAGAGCTCAGTAGCTCAGGAGGGTAGTTCCTGGGATTCTGATCCAGGGGTTCCTGGATCAAATCCCAGGGGTGGCCCTGGTGGAAAAAGGATTTTTTTACTTTTTTCGCTCTATATTATAAGTTTTCTGACGAAAAAGAGCATGGGTGGGGATTGAACCCAGGACCCGATGAGTAGAAGTCCCATGCCTAAGCCTCTACCCAATCAGGGTTTTCTTGTTTGAAAGAAGGATTTTCGCACTTATAAACATTAGATTTGGAGATAGTCTCTGGAGAGAGCTGAATATTTCAGGGGTAAGGCAAGGGCCTTTGGAGTGGAGTTGGGTTGGTAGCAAGGGGTATACATGTACCTTGGCAGGAAGGCAAGCTTGAGGGTTACTACAGTGTAAACTTGCCAGTAAGCCAACTGACTGATAAACATCTACCAAGAGTCTACCATGTCTTAAGTGAGAGTGAACCCTGAATATTCAGCTGTACAGTGATCTCCAGACTTGTTTGTGTTTTCAAGGCATTTCTTCCAAGTGCTTCCAAGACTATTAACTTCTTTGCATTGTTTAGTTTGGGCTAACAGGTTTGCCTTCAAAGACCAGCACACAAGAACAAGATGGTTACAATGCCAACATGTATAAGTTGCCGTGCAATGGTATAGGAATTTATTTGAAAAGGTAGGTACCATACGAAATTTACATGTACATCTACATGAGCGTGCTAAATATAAACACATGTATAAATGCATTATGAGCTGTTACTATTATTTACATACATACACTGCCTCTACAAATTGAGCAAATAAAAGAGACACTCTCTGTAACCTGGCCCCTGCACCCACTTATAAACACACTTTGCTAAACATTATTTAAAATTTCCTGTTTTTTTACTGGCATTCAATGTCAGCTTAGTAATTTCAGGTTGTCTCAGAATAAAAATGTAGGCGTACTTCTTTAGTTAATTTAAATACAATGCATATTGTAAAAAGTTAAAGATCACAATATCTGGCCCTTGTTTTAAGTTAGGTGTTAATTAAACAATTTATTAATACATTTTCCCTTCTCTAAATTTGTTGCACTGAGATGCAGTCTTGGATAAATCCTTCAAGTTACAATGCACATGCCATAATGGCGAATAATTACAAACTCTGGCTGTAATCCTGTGCAAATAGTTAGGAATAAGTTGTATTTAGCACCCAAAGGGTCTTTACGTCAAAGTTTGGTTTTTATCTCAAATTTGCTAGCTCAATAACTTGATTTACAGTTTGCTGTTTATATCTTTACTTTTATTTTCCAGGCAACAAAGTACCCTCTAACCTTAGTTTGTGGGTGAGTCCACTCAATCAATTTTCCAAGAAGTTTACACAAGTGACAAAGACCTTTTTACCAAATTCTGTTTCTACTTCATATAGATCTTAACACTGCAGATGGCAAAACTGGTTCCAGCACTAAGTTGTCATTGCTATAGAGGTAAAAAAACTCACTTATTCCTAAGACACTGTCGGAATTGTAAGATTTCGTAAAAAGGGTAGCTCAAATCAAGCTTTAGACGAGATTACTGTTTTTGTTGTAAATAGCTGGGTGTAGGAATAAACTTGATATTTATGCGTAGTTACTGTAAATTGTGAACTAGGTTTAAAAAAAATGTAACTAAGTCCTTTGGCTCTTATTGTGGTGCTTACTGTGGCTTTCTTCCTAGAATAACATCACCGTTTTCCTCATGAATACTAGAATACTCACTGGTATAAATCCATAAGGGACCAAAATTTTTACATACAGCTAATTGAAAAACAGGTGAATTTTCAAGGGTTTGATTAAAAACAATTGCATTATACATAGTACAGGCAACACCAACCTTGCGAACAACACTGCCTGTTGAAATCAGTAATCAATCAACCGAAAACAGGTCAATCTGGTTACACAAATCACTTCATGCAACAGTACATGTGCAAGACATTGGGGATGTGATGAAAGGAATGTTTTGCCCTGATGTATTGACTGACACATGAGTAAAAATCTTGACTGATTGTGTCTGTTAGCAATTGGAAGGCATATGACAGCATAGGTGACAAAGGAAAGTATGCAATCTTGAATCAAAAACTGACAGAGTAGACGACTGAAAAAAAATTGCTCAGCAGAAAAAAATCCACATACCATGCTCATGAAATTTGACATGTACTCATGCCAAAGAACCCACACTCATACTCCAAAAAGCCTACGCTCAAACTTGTACCCATAAAAAGTGGTACTCATAAAATTGGAATGAAAGAAAATGCTTGCAAGCAAACAAATCTGTACATCTCAAGCAAACAAATTTGCATGCTCAACCAAAAAAAGCCTTATGTTCGGATATTTCTTCATGGCATAGTACTCGTACCAGTACTAAAAGGAAAAATCCTTAAGAGTTGTCACAACGTAAATGAAACCGTACTCTCATGAAGAAAGTGCTCATACTTGTCCTTACAAGATGACAAAATGGCTGGGCCTTGTGATGATCAAGGCAAAGTGCCATCCTGCACCTGTGGAAATGTGCCAAATAATGCAGCAGCAGCCTGTCAACCTTAAAAAGCTCCTTACACTTGTCATCAAGAACTTGTAAATGGCACTTGGGGAAATGTACTCAAACTCGAAACTCACAAGAAAGACTCGCATTAATGCTCCTGGCAAAATACTCGGACAGCATGCGAAAATGAACTGGACTACTTCTCTACCGGCTACCAACCTGGTAGTTTTGGTCAGCGAGAAAGGCCACCTCTGCCTCCACCGACTGCATGAAATCTTCCCGGAGGTAGTCAGAGACCTTATCCCCGTTGTGGAAGGTCAGGTTGCCCACGTGGATGGCCTTCCTGACCTCTGGTAGGGCCAGGTAATTATTGAAGTAGCTCTGGTCAACAGGGGTCTGGGGAAGTGGGAACCAAATTCATCGGTTTAATCATGATTAGAGTTGTAAATGGACATTCCACGACCATCAAGCTTCCTGGTGTAAACCGGTTGGGTTTGAATCTGGTGAAGCACAGTAAATGACTGTTGATGAAATTTTCTTTCGGGAACGTGTAAGCTGAAAGACATTTTGATACTCACGTTGGTTCTCATGTAGTTGTAGTAGTCGGTGCAGCCGGTAATGTTCCGGAAGAGGCTGTCTGTGTCGCTGTTTATTAGCAAGTCAATCGCCTGAGAACGCAGATCAAGTTTGCAACATTCAGCGATAAATTTCACAATGTAAAGACCTGCATGCAAATGCATTCCAAGCGAATACAGGAAATACCGACAAACAACAATAACAAACTCTGGTCCATACAAAAAAGGCAACTCTTTCTTGTCCTTTCGTGGAAGCGAACCCCCCCCCCAAATTTCCAGCTTGGATGGTTGAAAGGGGAGGGGAATAGATATTTAACATGGCAGTCAGTAGTTCTGCTTTGAACAAATGACAGGCATGACATTTGACCTTAAGGGAAAAATAGGAAAAAACTACAGGAATAAGGTGCAAAATGTTGAAAACCGAGGAAAAAAATAGTAAATGACAGGAAACAAAAACCCTGGGTCCTGTTAAAAATATATTATGCCTGACAGGTTCTACTTTATTTCTCCTTCACTTTTTTACCGATTTTTTCCTTTACTGGATTTGGGGGAGGGGGCATCTGTGATTTTAACCAGCCCTTAGAGGAAAGAAGAATGTTCAATTACATGGGCTGCGCCTTCCCAGTCTTTGGCATTAATCAGTAGGACAATTTCGGCTGTGGCCTTGTCTATAATCTCCTTCTGAAGGAAGTCGGCCTGCCCCGTCTGCAGCATGAAAGCACCATAGCCTGGAATCAGCTGCGGACACAAAGGAGACGTGGGAATGAATGACGGAATGCAATGACACAGGCTATGGAAGTCTGCCTGACATGTCCCATCCACGGCACAGCCTTGAACAGGCTCTACACACACACAAAAACATGGACATGAATGAGGGAGCAAAATGGCACAGGCTATGGAAATCTGCTTGCCCCATCCATAGCATATAGCCTTGAACGTGTCATGGTTGATAAATAAAACACGTGAAGCAGAGAGCAGAAGTGTACAGGCTATGGAAGTCGATCTCTCTGTCCACATGCAATGCCCCGTACGAAATTATTGGCTAAACATTTTAATAGGTATGAAGAGTTTGCACAAAATGCTTTCCAAATGAACCATAAATTCCCATCCCTCAGACAGAAACCAACTTCGCGACTTACTTTGACTGGGGCAGTGAATCCATCTCCTATGGCCATTCCTTTAAAATTGATCTTGATCTTGGCTTCTGGGTTTTCCACGTGGATCACGTAGCTGAGAGCAGGTACGTACTTGCCAGCATAGGACTTGGGGGGACAGCACAAAAAGGTCAAAGGTTAACACCAAAAGAGCCCCCCCCCATTTGACCTCATTACTGAGGAGGAACCTAGTTCAAAGATCACACACTGTAAGTTGGTGGTTGGGATTCGTAGCTTCATAGGGTTAGGGGTTTGAAACCAGCTGGTGGCAGCATGCTGCGACCTTGGGCCAGTCGCTGTACCCCTATGTGCCCCTTTAAATGTACCTAGAGGTAAATTACCTGTGAGGGCAGCTATAGTACTAGTTATTACATTTAGCCGTTAGTGCCTGATGTGGCAGCACCAGGCCAGTCGAATTCCGGAGACATTAACCCTAACACTCCTCAGTCCTCCAACAGGTGAAGGATTGAGGAGGGTTAGGGTTAATGATAATATATTAGCACTTCTGAATGAGAGATACTGTTAGACACTGTGCACCTTATAAATGCTTTGCTATTATTTTTATTATTATCAGGGTGCAGATGGCACTGAAAATTAGTACAGGTGCGTATGAACCTGCAATATAAGGCCATGTCCGAATCACTTTGCTGTGGCTTGAAATTGGACACAACTCTATGGGAACTGGCTGCGGCCACTGCCATAGACTCGTGCATAATTTCCAGCCATAGCCAAGTGATTCAGACATGGCCTTATATGGTCTACATAGTTTCCCAGCATTCTTTTCAGTGAGTAATTTGGCTAATCTGCATTGGTAAGTTTGATGTGTTGACATTCCTACATGTACAATGTACCCCTCTCACAGACTTCAAATCCTGACCCACAAAAATGGGCCTCATCAGCTTGGATAGTAACCACATTATGTACACACATACCTCTTACTGAGTTGTGGGGACACAACACCTGTTGAAATGCAGGTGTTGTGGGGACGATTACAGAAAATGGGGACAAAGTTTGTCCCAACAACTCAGTCCCGACTCTCTAAACAAAAGCACTTGATGTACCCTTAATATGGTGAAGGCCTAACCGGCGTACACATGCCACGCATACAGATCTCAATTGCTGTATGTGATCTGTATACTCACCTCACCCGTTGCATAGAAAGCATTTTTCTGATACTGGGGAAACAGCTCAAAAAACTGGACCAAGGCACTGAAAAAAAGAAAGAAAATTGCCAAGTTTGAAGAATTCCATTTCACTAGGAAATATTAATTTTGAGAGGCTGTCCACTGAGAAAGCACATGTATTCACAACAAAACTAAATCAAATCAACAGTATTTGGAAAAACCCAGTGAATTGAGCTTGTGTGTAAGTTAATTAAACTAGATATAACCCTGTTGGACATTAATTCTGAACACAAAAAAAACTGGTTTTCTTCAGGAACCATATATTTCTAAAGACCTGTAAATTTCTGTCTGTGAAATCTGACAGCAACTCAGTTTAATAAACAAAGGAAACACGGCAGAAGAACAGAGGAATTGGCTACGTTTTTGAGAATGGCACCCTACTCTACAAGTGAGAGACATCGCTCCTCAACCAACTTTTCTCTGCAATTCAATCAATCCACTCTTCAACTTCAAATTATTGGCAGAAAGCTGAAATTAACACAAAAAAAGTGCTGACCTGTTTATGGCAAACAGTACCACTACATAAAGTAACATGGCTATGACATTCATCCTACCATGCACAACCAAATGATCCTACCTGTACAGGTTGTGTTCCCCT